CCATTCCATTCCATTCCATTCCATTCCATTCCATTCCATTCCATCCCATCCCATCCCATCCCATCCCATCCCATCCCATCCCATTATCCCATCCCCCCAGATGTTCCTACACAAAAATGTGGGTTTTTAGGATGTTATTTCCATGGCTAAAGCCAGTGCTCAGGTCAGATTTATGGCTGCTGCATTACCACACTCTCCACCTCTTCATTACCCTGCTCTTGCTGGGATGTGATCACATTTTTTCCCTGAGAAAATGCTTCTTTCAGGAGCTCTACCTCACACCGGGGAGTTAATACTCCTAAATAAATGTATTATAGATCCACATTCTCTTGTATTTTCCTTGTGCCCTAAATTAGACAATTGCAGCCCTTTGGACACCTTCTCATGCTGGTGAAATTCTTCATTTTCTTTTCCTTTCCTTAGTTTTAAAAAAAGAATTGGAGAACCTTATCCAGTGCAGGAGGCTCCTTAAACCCAAATCAAGCAAGGCAACACCCCAGGAGTCCCAGTTCAGCAAGGAGCTGAAGGTAAATCAACCACAACCTTCCTGTGGGCTGGAGTAAGGGAGGAGTGACCTGGGAGTTTGTGCTGACACCTGGGAAATGGGAGAATTTCGGGGAAAGTGGCTCTTAATTCCCTTCTGAGGGTGTCTCATGGTGGCATTTCAAGTGTGGGAAGGGTTTTCAGCGTTTCTGCATCTCCTGGTTTTGCATCCCAGGCAGGTGGATGAGGAGCAGGCAGCCCCATGGCTGCCCTTGAGAAGCATTTTGGGATAATAGGAATTTTAGAGTGGATGCAATAATTTCCTCTGCCCTCGGGGATTGAAAAAATCATGGAATGGTTTGGAAGGGACCTTAAAGATCATCCAGTTCCACCTCCTGTCATGGAACACAAGAATCATAAAATCCTGATTATCCACAACCCATTTCCAATCCTTTAGGGTTGGAAAAGCCCTTTAAGAGCACTGAATGCAAACCCAGCACAACCTGGATGTCCCCAAATTCCCCAAATTCCCTGAACCCCTGCAGGGATGGGGGCTCCACCACTGCCCTGGGCAGCTGTGCCAGGGCTGAACAACCTTTTTGGATGAGGAAATTCTTCCTGAAATCCTTTCCAGACCTCCCTTTTTGGATGAGGAAATTCTTCCTGAAATCCTTTCCAGTCCTTCCTTTTTGGATGAGGAAATTCTTCCTGAAATCCTTTCCAGTCCTCCCCTGGGGCAGCTCAGGTGTCCCCACCCTGTCACCATCTCTGCTGTCCCACACATCCTTGTGCTTCCAGGTGCTTTTTTCACAGGTTGTTGAAAAGGTGGGTGTTACAAACAAGGCAAAATGAGGAAATTTGATTTCCAGGCTTGTTTCTAGAGCCCTTTTTGTTTAAAGAACCGGAAAGTGGCAGTGTTTGCTGCACAGGCAAAAAGGCCAAACGTGCTGGAAATCAGGACCTTGTGATGCTTCTCTGGCTCTGCCACATTTTCTTTAATTTTCTTTGGGTTTTGTCATTTTATTATACAGTTAAAACTCTCAGATGTTCATGTTCCTTCTTTTTCTTTGATGTCTTAATACTTGCAAGGAAGTGTGTGTGCTTCTCTTTTGTGAAATGTGAAATTTTTATGACATGAAAATTTTGCCTTGAATGATTTTGTTTTCACTGCTGTTTAATTCCTGCTTTAATCGTGTGCTCCTACAGCAAATTAAGAAGTTTTATTTTATTACAGGATTTAATTCAGAAATATGAAGGGGATCTCTCCCAGCTGTCAAAAAGATGTGAGGAAATGAAGAAGCTTTATAGCAACGTCCTGGTACATATCATATTAAAATGCAGTGCAAATAAAGCTACATTTCATTTTTAAAAGGGAAGAAAGGAGGGGAAAGGAGTGCAAGAAATTCCCACTTGCTTTATATTTATACTGGCTATAGAAAAAGAAAGAAAATCCCATATTTAACCGTGGTCAGAGACCTTAAGGAAAGGGACAGAAACGCAGTGACAACCTCTGAAACTGGAAAATATCCTGGTGCTGGGGTTAGGACTCATTTTTGTGTCATTTTTGTATGTAAAATATAATTTTACATTTTTGTACACATTTTCTTTAATGAATGGATTCATCTCCCAAGCTGCAGGGCCAGAAATCTTCAGGATTTACTGAATTTTCTCCTCTTCAGCTGGAGATTTGTAGTCCAGCCAGAGAGATTAACCTGAAGTCATTCAATGACAACTCCTTAGATCACTTTTATTTGGGATATTTTGGATCTCAGTTCCTTGGGGATTTCAGAGAGCTCAAAGTTTGCTTCTTCCTCCTCCTCCCCTTCTCCTTTTACCTTTTATTCCTCTTCTTCTTTACATTGATATTAACAATAATCAAGGTATTTAATTTTCCTCTGCTCTTTAACTTTCCTTAAGCTCCTGGACATGGTTTAGATCACTCAGATATATTAAAGCTAAATATTCTTTTATTTCCAATTTCCAGGTGAGGTTTGGGGAGCCACCAGACCTGGACTCCCAGGAACTCTTTGGATGGATATCTGCATTCATCAGTGAGTTTAGGAAGGCATGTACTGAAGTCACACTGTAAGAGCACAGATTTTATGGAGAGGTGAAGGAAAGGGGAGGCCAGAGAACAATTTTTAATTTTTTTTTCTTTACTGATAAGCAGCGCATTGCCAATCTCACCTGTGCAGCAGAGCACCTTGGTTTTGAGAGAAATTCAATTTATAATGTGTAATATTAAGTGGTATTTAACCTGTAATATCCCAGATCACTTAGGAGCCTCTCAATTTTGTGCTTTCATATCTTGAGATTCCCATATACTGAGAAAAAAACCACTTTTGACCTTTTATAATTTCTCTTTTCAATCTTTTCCTTTGAATGCCCCAGCTCCTTATCCAGTTTTAATTATTATTTTCAATGAGTAATTTTCTGTATGGTGATCTAATTTCTAAAGAATAGTTTCAGACATTTTATAAAGAAATGGGGAGCTGTTACCCACAGAGGAAAATATTTAAATAAATTCTTGTTTATTTTGCTATTAAAACATTGCAAACTTTGTAATGAAGAAAGTTTCTGGCTGAGTGTTTTATTTTGCCCTGTCCCCCCTAAGTAGGACAATGAAATCCTGTTTTTTATGGCTATTTTCATGTATTTGCCATACATGCTACATAAATTAATCAATAGATAGGATTTGCATTGGCAGGAAGAGAAAAATGTCAGAGCAGCAAAATAAAAAGGTGTCAAAAGCATCTAAGGAATGGATATGGGAGGGAATTATCTATGGTTTTCGATGGAGAAATTATTTCTGCAGTGTTTGTTGGCTTTTACACGTTTTTAATTAGAATAATTGCCTGGAGCTCCAGGTATGGGAGGAGAAGGAGGCCTAGAAACAAAGACCCAGCAGAAAACAGCTGGAAAAGGGCATTGATAAAATCTGGCATTTTCTCTCTCAGGTGTGGGTTGAGAGAAAAGTGAATCTGATTTATTTTTGAGGAGTTATCTGATTTATTTTAGAGAAGTTATCTGATTTATTTTTGAGAAGTTATCTGATTTATTTTGGCTCTTTCTGCCCAGTGTTTGAGCTTTGATGGAAATGCTGAACTCTCTCCCTGACCTGAGCACTAAAGGAGCTGGGATTGACCCCTCTGAAAGGCTTGGATGCACTTCCAGCTCAGAATTCCATCATCACAGCCCTGTCTGAGCTGGAATTTAACACTTCTGCATATCCAGCACATCCAGGGTGACCTGCACCACCCAGGAGCTCGGGACAAGGGCAGGACAGAGCCTGGCTGCTGCTCTACAGAGAATTTCAGAATTCTCAGAAATTCAGAATTCCAGTGCTGGGCCAGCCAAGGAGTGCAGGGACACTTGGACAGTGCCTGGAAAGATAGGATGGAAGATTTTTTCCATGTCTGAACCAGAAAATTGTGATATTTGTGCTTCCCAACAATCTCGTTAGGACATTGCTCCCAGTTAACCTTCCCAGAGACAAAAGGAATGAAACAGAACCAAAATTAGCCCCCCTGAGACTTATTTTACGTGAAAATATTTGCAGAAGCAATTCAAGTATTTAATTTTACACAAAATTGGCTGCATTTGCCTCGAGTCAGCTTCAGAGCAGTGACATCCACAGGATCCACAGCTTCCACCCCCCATTTCTGCCTGAAAGAGGAAAATTCAATTCCTTTTTCATTCCTTGCAGCCCTGTCCCACAGTGCCCTGGCCAGGGATGCTGCTGCCCTGTGAACACCACTGGCAGCTTTAGATGTGTGTGATCACAGCTCCAAAATCAGAATTCTCTTCATTTCCATGGGACTCCTGTCAGATAATCCTGGACAGCAGAGCCATTTCCATGGTACCAGATCCCTGCATCCCTGGACAGCAGTCGTGATGCTCATGATAAATTTCATGGCTTTTTTTTAGCTCCAAAAATCCTGCTAAGTCACTTTTAACTAAAGAATTTTTTTTTCCTTTTTTTTTTTCCCCCTCATTACTTTTTCTCCTCAAGTCCTTCTTTTCCATTATTCTATTTAACAGCTTGTACTTGTTTTATAGCTCAGCTGGCAAGGCCTCTCCCAATTAAAAATATATCCTGCCCAGTGGTCGATATCTGTGCCTTTGTGGGAACATCCTGGAGCATTAATTAAAAAAATTAATTAAATTTTTTTAAAAAGTACAGTCTTGGCATGGAGTTCTATCCCCTTCAGAGAGCACAAAGCTTTCCTATGGAGTGGGAGCTGTTTCCATTTTCCCAAATAAGCTGTTCCTTGAGACGTCCTGATGTATATGTAAAATAACCTTGTTCCCTACCCCATTCTTTATTCTATTTACCATAAGGCTGGCGTTTTTGCAGGTCTCTTAAATTGTATTATTATGTTTTAGTGGTGTAAAGAATAAAGGTTTTTGCACCTCAACATTTATTTGGGATTATATGGACAAGCTCCAAGTGTCCCTGTGGATAATGTCCTTGGGATCCCTCCTTAGCAGGTGATGGTTTTATCCTGCAAAAGTCATAAAAGCCTTGGGTGATGCTTCTCTTTGTGGAAAATATTACTGTTAGGAGCAAGCTGAACTGCAGGAGTTTTACATCTGGGTTATTTTTTCCCCACAGAGCTGATTTTTGGCATATTCTGGAATATGAATTATTAGTGAAGGTGTTATAAGAAGTTCTGATCAGTGAAATTTGTGTCAATATTCGGCTTTGTGGAGCTGTGAGTCAAATCTGCACTGAATTTCCTCTGCTGACAGCTCAGCAGGGTCAGAACCACTGGCTCCAGGAGCAAAAGGAGATTTCTTTCCATGGTTTGTTTCCTTAAAATGCACATTTCTGAGCAGGAGCAGGAGCAGCAGGAGCAGGGAGGATAATTTCTGTATCTCACATTAGACAATAATGGATTTCAGCAGAAGCACAGCTCAGAACAGCCCCACACTCCAGGCCTGGAGCTCCCAGAAGAAATCCCTGACTTTATCCAATGTCTCAGAATATTTCAATCTGCCCCAGGAAATGCTGGAAGAAATGGAGCTCATTTAGGTACAGGTCACTGAATGGATTTCAGCTGCCACAGGGCACCACTCACAAGGGCTTTTCAAGAATTCACAGGTTGAAACACAAATCTCTTTCCCCAGGGGCAGAATTCTCCAATTCTCCCATGGTCTCTTAAACCAGCAGTGTAAAGAGCAGAGATTATCCAGCACTAGAGTCAGTGGAAAAAAATGGAACTTCCAGAAATGGACAATTATCTCCCAGGGCAGTGGCTGAACTTTGCTTTCCAGTTTTCCTCTTTCCCCCCCTTCCTACTTGAACTGCACACACCAGGCAGAGTGCTCCTGCTAATTTGTATAAATGAGCAGTAAAATTAAAATTGTGGCCACTTGGAAGGTGTTCTGTGCAGAAAAGCTTTGCTATCACTCATGGATGCTGGTTTCTGGTTTGAATTAATGCCTTTCAAATCCAAACCAGTTTTAGGAGAAGGTGGAAAATGCTGTTAGATAAAGAGAATAACAGTGGGGTTTCTGAAAGGGCCCTTGTTGGGTGCTCACTGTACAAAGCCTGAAAGAGTTCTTAGAAAATTCTCCTGTGCTTGAGAAGTCGCTGCTATTGATGGCTCAGAAAAACCACAAAAGTTTGAAACTGCTCATCCTAAAGAAGAAAATGTGGAAAACTCCAAAGCCAGGGGCTGCTCTGGTGAGGAGCTGGGGGGACCCAAGGAGCTCCTGGACAGATCCTGCCCTGCCTCACTCCCAGAATTTGGGATGTGGACACTCACAGCTACAGGATTCCAGTCCCTCCATCAGGCTGCCAAAATGCTCAGCTGGTAAGTTTTCTCCCCAAATTCAATGTAAATATTCATTTTCTCAGTGTTTAGAATGTACTGAAAGCTGAACCAGCTGCTTTATTCCCAGAGTAACAAAGAACAGGAGAGCCTCTGAAAGCTCCAACGAATGCACGTGTGAACACTTGGTGAAAATAAGATTTTCTTTAGCACTAACTCCAATCCCTCACCTCACAGCATGGTGTGAGGTGTGTGAGCAGCACAGAGGTTTTTTGGTGTACATTGAAATGATTGCAGGCATTGCTAAATGAGCTTTAAGCCTCCCCACTCGCTGCCTATTTACCCAGGGATGAATTTTGCCCACTGGGAATATTTCATACAATGGCAGTCAGCAGTAATTAAGCAAGAGGAAGCCACAAAACAGCTAAATATTGCTTTAAGCTCATTTGACAAATGAGACATTTGAAACAAAAGGTTTCAGATGCAGATTTGAAGTCCCTGGATGCAGTTTAGAAGTGCTGCAATGTGTTTTCAAACACAAATCACTGACACTTTTGCAAAAGGGTAAATAACTGATGATCTCTGCTGGAGTGATGTCATTTGCTCATGAGCACTGACCTAAAAAACCCCAAAGGTTATTGTCCATAAAGATCAAGAACTGATGAGCAGATTTATACCCAAATTCTTCTTGTAGCTCCTAGAAATTTTCCTGAACAGGCTCTGTAGGACTTGGCCTGAAATGATGCAATTATAAGTAGAAATTTGCTCAACTCAGTTCCAGTCCAGGAACTTTTCTCAGTCAGGAAATCACTCCCAGACAAGATCCCAAGCTGCTGTCATTACTGCTTACATTGATTCCTTGGAATCCTGCCATTCCAAACAATCTGATCTCTCACTTTCCTGACAGAATTAAGCTGATGAGGAGAATCAAACCCATCCAAAGCCTTCAGAGGATGGAATTACTGAAGCTGCCCTGTGAAAGGACAGCCCTGCTGTGATGACTCTGCTCTCCAAGCTGCACTGCATGAAGCAGCTCGGCCCAAAATGCACAAAACTTTGTGATTTAGGTGTGTAAATCCTTTTTCTGCATTTGTCTCTCCCTTTCTGCAGGCAGGAAAGCTGTGCTGACACCCTCCTCAAAATTATTTGGGGGAGAATTTGGAATTCCTGCAAAAAAGAACTGAAATACAATAGTAAACCAAGAATTAAATCTTGCCTTATCACAAGTTTTAAATGCAAATACTTGCTTTAAAAGCAGTTAATGTGTGTACTTGATTTTATTGTCTTAATCCACCTAACCTCTGTTTTTACAGGAGGGTTAAACATGGAAATATTTCCTGGAAATATTTTGAATAACCATAAACACAAGAAATATCAAGCTATTCGTGGATAGTTTAGTGAAGATTAGTGATGACATTTGCTGGCCCACTGATGCTGCAAACAACTGACTCCTACCTGGGGTCTTGGAAGGAGCAAAAAGAACTTCCAGGGTCACGTTTTGCTCTCACTTTTACACTCTGTAAACCCAGACTAAGCCCTGAGCAACAGAAAAACTGGAATATTCCCAGCCATCCCTCAAGGAATAAGTGCAGCATCTGCCTGGGGGAATTTCAAACCCCAGATTTCACCTGGTGCTCGTGCTCAGCTTTGGTCTAAGAGAAGATCTGGCTGCTCGAGAAATGCTGAATAAAGACCTCAAATGCCAGGGCTGTCAGCAGATCTGAGCAGTTCTACCTTTACACATGCAGGCATCCTGCTGACTCATTTCCTTAATCACCTCTAAAATTCGCAGGGAGTTTGGAAATTCTCTTTGCTGAGGAGGCCATCAAAACACAGATTTATCACAGCAGAGTGTCAGGGAAACTAAAGCAGCCCAACAGATACAGGTAGGAAATTGTTTTTCATTGTTTTCTCTGTTCTGCTGCTGCAGAAATTTTTTAAAAATCCTGAAAATGGGATGGATTGAGGAGAGGTACATTAAAACAAGCAAACTACAGGAAAAGCTTACTTAAAAAAACCAAAGAAATTAGATTTTAGATTAAAATAAAGCAAGGAAAATCTAGGCTTGAGTCTGCATCAGTGTGAATTAAAGACCAAAACCTTCTGTTCATTGTAGCCACGTGTACAGCTGAGGATTTTATTCTATTCCTACAGGATCTGTTTGCATTTAAATGAAGTGAAATTTACTTTATAAAACATTTACAGGCTGTTTTTAAGAACCATCAGGCTCATTAGCCAGGTGAATTTGTCTTGGGTTTGGCCAACAAATGTTTGAGCAGCAGAGAACCTGAGCCAGCTGTCCCGGAGCCAGCAGCCAGATGGGGACAGCAGCCAGCTCAGGAATTGCAATTCCAGCCTGGAGGGAACCCAGGGAAAAGCCTGAGCACGAGCACAGGTGGGGATTGCCATCAGTATTATGGGATGGAGCCCCCTTGCTCCCCCTCATCCCACATCTCCTGCTCAGGGTGGGAGATCCTGGAGGGGCTGGGGATGCTCAGCCCCCTGCAAAAACCTCTGGGCAAACAGAAAACTCAGCCTGACAGCAGGGAAATGGAATTGGGCTGAGGAAGAAAGGCAAGGAGAGGAAGGAGGGCTCTGTTACAGAGGGGATGGAAGAATTCTGAAGGCCTCCAGACACCAGCACGAAGCTCAAAAGCGTGAGAGGAAGTCCGAGGCAGATTATTCCTGCCTTTTGTGAGGCAAATGACTAATTATACAGAGCAAGATGTTCTGCTTCCGAAGAGATTTGGGAGGCATCATGCAACATTGATACAGAAATCTCATTTAATGCAGGTTTACAAGGCGAGAGGTAAAAGGAAATGTAAATGCAAACATGGTGCTTTCTCCTGATTCTCCCTGTGGCTCTTCCCTCTGTCAGAAAGCTGCCTCAGTGCTGGAAGTCTCCCGTGAAACATCAAAATTCTTCCAACTGGAGGCAGTTTTAGGCTTCCACAGTGTGTGTCCAGAAAGGGAAAGCAGTTGTGAGCTTAATCTGAATTTCCATTGTTGTGTGCTGTTGCTATTTATTTTACTCATTTTTACTTCAAAGGAAGAAACACAAAATCCCTGTTAGAGGGAGCTGGATCAATACTGAGAAATTCTTTGTCAGATAAAATAAGAGCAATCATTAACCTTGCTGCTTACGAATTAAATGCAAACTCCACTTTTCAACTCACCTCTCCCACAGCATCCCCTGCAAACTTCCCTCGTTTTGCTCAGCAATTAAAGCCCAGCTCAGCCACCCAAACCAGGATTGTTACAAATAACCTCAGAGCTCTCTTCCTTCTGTCCGGGTGGGAAAAAGGAGGAGGTGTTTCCTGATGTGGATCAGGGATTTTGGCGACAGGGACTCTCCAGGCGGCTCCCTGAGGTGTGGATTTGTGATTATGGATATTATTTATAGCCCTGATGTCTCCTGGAGCAGCACATGGAGAACGTTGATGGCCGTGCCCCAGCTCTGCACTGGTCCAGGTGTGGGGTCCCCTGGCCAAATCCCAGCCCAGTGAGTTTAGGTTTCACCAGAGATTATTTCAAACAGGGCCGGGTGATGCAGGAAAGATCTTGTCTGGAAGCCACCACCAGCACCGAGCCACTCATGTTTTTAATCATCTTAAAATTCATGAGAGAACTCAGGTAAGGACCTGCTCAGTCTCCCAATCCTTCCAACACACACCATAAAAATAAATTAATGATAGAGGTGGTAAATCACACCGTAAGCACATGGCAGCACTGTGGGGTGGCACCTGGCCACGTTAATCCTCAAAGAGCAGGCAGGACAGTCCTGCAGTGATCTCAGGGTGTGATTTTTGGAGAGCTGTTCCCTCCTGTGCGCCGGGCTCGGGGTGTCCGGTCCCAGCTGCAAACATCTGCCCAGGAAGGAGCTCCGTGCCCTGCAGCCTCCGGCAGGTTCAGGTGCTGCTTTTCAGGGAGGCTGCGGCTCCTTCCCATCCTCCTCCTCCTCCTCCTGAAAACAGGGGATGCTGCGAGGTCCTGGCGCTTTCCCCGGGGCTTTGTAGCCACTCCAGAAGTGGCCAGGGAGGAGGAGGAGGAGGGGAGTGTGTGTGAGCAGGGAGAGATTCCGAGGGGAGGATCCCTGGGGATGGAGCCCCCGCAGAGCCCGCTAGGTGAGAACTGGGCAGGTTTGCTGTGACAAAGCTGCTGGGGAGGGGGATTTGTGGGGGGAGAGCGGGGGAACAGAGACACAGAGAGAGAGAGAGAGAGAGAGCGAGCAGGGGAGTGTGCAGCTCCTGCCGCTGCTGTCAGAGCAGATCTGGCAGCTCTGGGGGAAGCTCCCAGCTCTGCACTCCGAGCATCCCGGATCTGCAGCTCCAATTGCCGGCAGCGCACTCATGGCAGCGCCAAATGGGTTTATTTCTCCGCCACCTCCCGTTTCTCTCTCTCAGCAATAATTCACCTGAGGGCTTTTTTTGCCCTCACCTCCCTTTCTCACGCTCTTTGTTGATGTGGAGAGAGGGGAGGAAAGGGCGTTCTGGACAGCGCGGATTGCTCTGGGCGGCTTTTTGAGGCGTGTTTTAAAGAGCCGGGGAGAGGAATAAAGAAACAGGAAAAAGAGAGGGGGGGGGGAAAAAAAGAAAAAGCAAAAAGAAGAAGACGGCACAAAGTGGTGGCGGTGGCAGGAGGAGGCGAGGACAGCAGAAGAGCCGGGGGACAGCGGAGCTCCGCGGTGGCCGGAGCGGGGCGCGGAGTGGCCGCGGGTGCGGACCATGGGCTGGCGGCTGCTGCTGCTGCTGGCCCTGGCGCTGGGCGGCCGCGTGGCCACGGCGCAGAACGACACCGAGCCCATCGTGCTGGAGGGCAAGTGCCTGGTGGTGTGCGACTCCAACCCGGCCCCCGACGCCAAGGGCTCGTCCTCCTCGCCGCTGGGCATCTCCGTGCGGGCCGCCAACTCCAAGGTGGCTTTCTCGGCCGTGCGGAGCACCAACCACGAGCCCTCCGAGATGAGCAACAAGACGCGCATCATCTACTTCGACCAGGTGAGCGCCGCCATCCCCGGGTGCGGCATCCCCCGCGCACCAACAGGTGCTCCCTTCCCGCATCCCATCCCCGCTGCGAGTTGGGAATCCGCCCCGGGGAGGAGGGGAAGGACGAGGCGAGCTGAGCCCGGGGGGCTGCAGATGTTCCCCGATCGTCCCCCGGCCCCTCCGCACCTGCGGCCCCGGGAGAGGCGGGGATGAGCCCGGGAGGTGCCGGGGCATCAGTGGGGTGACATCGGCCCGAGGGGCTGGGGACACGGGGATCTCTCTGTAGGGTTTAGGTGATTTGTGCAGCTTTTGAGAGAGGGAGAAGAGAGAATTCGAAGGGAAAACCTTTTAACTTTCCCGCACAATTGGCGGTGCAGCTCCGCTCAGCTCAGCACCGATATTAACGCAGATACCAACACGCGTTTTCATCCCAGCTCCCGTCCTGGGGCGAGCCCGAAGTCTCTGAGACTGATGGTTCTTCTTGTTCCTGCACCCTGCTGTGGCGAGCAGTAAATCGTGGTGACAGCTGGAGCCAGATGTGCCACACAGCTCAGTGCTGGCACTGTAAATGACCCTAAAACTCCATGGACAGCCCTAAAGGCTTCCGAGGGCTGTGCCTGGCACAAAGGAGCCTGGAAATACCAATTAAAAATAAAGCATAATTAGGTGGAAAGAGAGCAAAATTTCATTACGGAGGATATGTGGCATATGGGTGATGCGCTCCTCTGAGATGCTCCCCTCTGCCACTTCTCTCTGTTCAGTTAAACCCAAATTATTATTAGTGCTCATAAAAGCTGAAGGCTCCCAGGCAGGTTCTGCTGGGATCCAGTAACTCAGGCTGTGGGCTGGGAACGGCTCGTGCTGTTCCGTGCTCACCCCTGGGTTTTTGGGAAGGCACTGCTGGCTTGGCCATTGCTTTTCAGCCACTCCCAGAATTGCTGCTTTCGTGGCATTTTGGGGAATGGTGAACAAAAAGTGCTTTTTAAAAACGTGTATGGAAGAAAGGACTTGAGGCTGTGGTATAACAGCAAGGTAAGAAATAATTCCCATCTTAGTTTATTTGTAGTAAAGTTGTCCTATAAATACAACTAAATCCCCATTTTATGAGTTATTCCGAAATAATCGAGAGAAACTGAATAAACCAGCTTAGACGTACATTAAAATGTTTCCATGGGTGATGGTTTCTAAAGTTCATAATCTGTATTCTTTAGCACTCACTACCTGTACTAATCCCCATGCTATATTTTTCTGTTTGTAGATCCTTGTAAATGTGGGCAATTTTTTCACGTTGGAATCTGTCTTTGTAGCACCACGGAAAGGAATTTACAGTTTCAATTTTCACGTAATTAAAGTCTACCAGAGCCAAACAATTCAGGTATGTTGATGAGCATGGTTATAAAATCTTCATTTAAATTGCTTATTTAGGCTAGAATATTTAATATGATTTTTAAGGAAAAATAGCTTAGTTTACAGCAACCTGTGGTGTCGACTTCCTAGCAGTAGAGTCCATTAATTTAAAATGAACAGAAATAAGTCAGGATCTTCAGCTCAGATAAATCACCACAACTTCACTTCCATGCCATGAATATCTGGGGGGACATAAAACATTCAAGAGAATGAATGAGCCAAGAGTAAAAGAGAGCTCTGGATTTCACTTAAATGCTGTTGAACAGTCGTGTTTTGCTACAGGTTAAACTCAGTGTGTGGAACACAGGCTTTGAGTACCAGATTTGAGTATTTTTGGAACAATTTGTGCCCTGGCACCTGGTGCCAGGTACCTGGTTATGCCCTCAGTGTGCTGAGGACCAAGCTTGGTTATATCCCTATAGCAATGGCTTCTAGGGAACCTTTACAGCAATTTAAACTTCTTTTTTTCATCGTATAATGTATAAAAGGTGTGTGATACATTAGAGAAAAGGGGTAATTGTGCACGTCCTTCTGTAGCTTAATAGCAACGGAGCTGCCTAATTAAACACGAGAGGGGAAAACCTTTAAATTCCTGAACATCCCCTTGCTGAGCCAACAGCAAATTCCTTGAAGTAATTCCTTAATCTCCCTGCCAGGGCAGTTGCTGTGACACCTGCTGGCTCTCCAGAGCTGGAGGAACATCTGTGGCTTCCCTCATTTCCACCTTCACGGGGGTGTCTGCTGCCTTTCCCTGCTCTCTCCTGCTCCTGGATGTGCTTTTGAGCCTGCCAGGCTGGGCTGGGATGGATTTCTGCAGGAGGAGGGATCAGAGATTTCTCTGTGGCTGCTCTGGGGTGCAGGGGAAGCTCCAGGGAAAAGTGGAGATGGCAGAGAGCTGGTGAAAGCCACCATCCCATCCCTGGTGAAATTCCCCTTCAGTTTACAGTGGAAAATCCCAATTCCAATCAGCTCAATGACAAAGCCTTAAATAAAGTATTGACCTCACAAAAATCTCTATAATGAGCTTATAATCTGTTTAATGTGCTCAGAACGTGTTCTTTTCACTCTCTTGCCTGCTGAAGGCTGAATGACTGTATGTCAGCCACTTCAGTGGGTTTAAAATGCTCATTGCAAAGAAAGGTGTCAAGCCTCGGGTTCTGGAAGTCCAGCTCAGACTCTGGCATTTCACAGAGCAGGAGCTCAACCCTGGGAGTTTGGGGCTCATGGCAGGGCATGTTCCAGCCTGTGGCATGGCTGAAATCTTTCATGGGTAAGAGATTCTGAAGTGATGGATGGGTTTGCTTGGCTCTGTTTGGGAAGAGTCAGAGTGAGGCCAGCCCATGCAAACCTGTCAATGTGTCCTCTGTTGTGATGAAATTGCTGTCAGATGATTCCAGGGGAACCTGATGGAACAGAAAGAGTGAGAAACCCAAGCCAAGCCATGAATAAAGCCTTAATGCCCTTTTTATGTGGGGTGAATGGGGAGGAGAACCAGGAGCCATTTCAGTGGATCAAACAGGTTTGAGTCTCAGCCACATCCAACCCCACTAAATCCTGCAGGCTTCCCACACCTGTGATGTTCCTCTGCCCCCACAACATCTGTTCGAGCCATTAAATATCATTAAACTGCACTTGGCTCCCTGGAGACACCTGATGAAATGCATTTTTCAGACAGGTGAATCCCAAATAAATACCAGCCTCTGCTGCCCTGACTTCTGCTGAGCACTCATTTATTCTGTGGTGACTCCCATTAAAATTAATGGGACCATATGCAAGGCCAGCACAGTGGATGTGGATGAGCATCCCATAATTCACCCCCTGTGACTGCATTAGAGCTGCTTGGAGGGGAAAAACATCAGGGCTGAAAAAGCTTGCCATGGGGGAAATGAAAAATGCCCGGATCTGCCCATTTCCCCAGACCCTGCCCATCTTTATTTAGAGATGCTGCTCTCAGAGCAGAGGCTGTGCTGGCTTGCAGGAGTGTTTGATAGAAGAAATGGAATCAGTTTATAAAGCTAAAAATCTGTTCTAAACTTCAGATCTAAGCTGCCATCAGCACTGCGAGGGACACACTTTTTATTCCCAGTGAACTGTAAGCTCCCAGCCCACTGTGGTGCTTCTGACACCTCGTGGAATATCTCTGGGTGCCCAAATTTCTTGAAAATATTTATATTTTTTTCTCTTGTGTAACTAAATAACCCTGGAGACAGGCAAAGTGATACCAACTGAGGTGATGCCTCACTGAGCTGCAGGTCCAGCTCATGAACATCCACGTGCTTGTACCAAATAAATGTCATAATTAGTTTAAAACAACCCAAAAAGCACTGAAGGTTGCACTGTGGGCAATGTTCAGGGGTAGCTCTTGATGCTTTGCAGTTCTTTAGAGCTTTTAGGGGCTGTCTTGCAGGTGAATTTGATGCTGAATGGGAAGCCAGTGATCTCTGCTTTCGCTGGGGACAAGGATGTCACCCGTGAAGCTGCCACCAACGGGGTCCTGCTGTACCTGGACAAGGAGGACAAGGTTTACCTGAAGCTGGAGAAGGGAAATCTGGTCGGTGGATGGCAGTACTCCACATTCTCTGGCTTCCTGGTCTTCCCCCTGTAAAGTCAATTTTCCTGTGACCTTCATCCAGGTGTGGACTCATCCTTGCCTCTGTTTCATGAAGATCATTTTGTCCTCATGGGAGTGATGGTTCTTTATTGCTTTCTCATGGGTGATTTTGGATTCTCTCCATGGATTTTGGCCCCATCTGAACTACTCAGAAGTTCCACAGAATTCTGTGTGCTCAAATAAAACACCTTTGGACTGAGACTAAAGCAGACAATAAATATCAATGCTTAAGGTTACAGTCTAAAGCTGCCTGCAAGATTTATTCCAATTTCATTTCCTGGACTTACTGGATTCGGGGAAGAAGTGGATTTTCTCTAACTGTGCAAAGACTGGCACCAAGTCTTTCATGTAGGAGAGTTTGAGCTCAGACTTCAAGCAAGAGTTTGTGCTGCTGCCAAAGAACTGTGTATTGAAATATTGGTTGTGTTTCTGTCCTGGGACTGCACTGCCATGATCTGTTCCATTGTCTTAGAGAGGTAATTCTTATTGCTAAGTGGCTGACCTGAGTTCTCCCCTGTGTGTTGTGTGTTGGATGGTTCACCCAAATATTTAAGCTCAGTCACAACCAGGTGCAGCCTGCATCAGTCTGAGGGGTTATGGATGGGTTTTGGTTGAATATGGAAGGGGTTCCTCTTTTCCACGTGCTGATTCCTAAGAGGAAAATCAGATTATAACAGATTAGAGCAGATTAGAAACAGATTATAACCATTCAGGGTTGAAGGTGGTCATTCAGGCACAACTTTGCTAAACATCTTTGTCCTGCAGGACACCTCACACTTTTTTTCAGTTTTCATTAACTTGATTGATAATTACTGCTTTATTCAACGCCTGAGGGATTCCTTCCTTACACACAACCACTTTGTCAGCTGGAGATGAGATCCCCCTTGTTTGTGTTTCTGTGTATTTTCCAATCCTTCTGTTGTGTTAAAGGTCTTATCTGGTTTTGCCTTAACTCCACAGGTGTATAAAATTTTAGATCATTTGTTTAACAAATATGAAATCCAAATAATTGGTACCTAACTTGGTACAAAAGCTTCCCAGCTTTTTTGTACAGGTCATGTGAATTCATAAATTTATTTATTTATCTCATTGTTCCATAATAAAGATTAATATATGGTAGCTGAATTTTTTGACCTTTAGAATTTGGGAGTTGCTTCATACTATTTTTTTATTAGATATAATTATCATATGCAAAATGAAAGTTTTTGGGATTCACAGAAAATATCCCAGGAGGCAGAAAAGCTGCCATGAGTCAGCCTGGCAGAATCCTGGAGGTAATCAGAGTGATCTAGAAATAACCTATGCATTTTATTTTAAAATAAAATTGAGGCAGAAATCGTGGTCTCACTGAAGTTGGTGTTAAGAATCACATTGATTCCAAAGGAATTTGGATGAAACTTCTGCTTTGGGTTCTGCCATCAGCATCAAACTCCAGATTGAATATTTAATAAAATGATTTTCACATGAGCTGCTAATGAAACCTTCACCCCTCGTGCCCAAAATACACTGAATTGATGGATCTTTGTGCCTTGCATATCGTGAAGGATGTGGTTCTAAATTAAAAATTTCTGTGTACTTCAAAATGTTTGTGGGTGGAAGCACCTGGAGCATCCTGGGAGCTTCCCTAAAAGCCACTTTGGGCTGGGATTTGCTGCTTTTGGGATCTGTTTGCAATTCCTTCCCTTGTTGGCCAAGTGCAGTGTGTCCTGCTGAGATTTCACTGGTGGAAAATCTAATTCATGACTGGTCAGTGCTCCTCATGAAAATACCAGGGACTTGGCACAGCTTTGTGCCCAAATTCCTGCTTTTGCCTCACCCACCACAGGATATTTTGGGCTGGTTTTGGGAGGATTGGTGGGTACTCTGCACTCCTGTAAGTCAGATAAGAGGGGATTTTTTACACACAATTTTGTTCCTGTGCTGACCACTGCAGCTGGGGAAGAAGTGGAAGGACCTGGTAAGAAGGTGAAGGATTCCCATTGCTGAAAAATCTTAAAAAGTTATGATGACCAGTCAAAATGTGTTCCTGCTGTACCCCCAGAATGTGTGTATATAAATATACGTATATCTAAACTGCCTGGAATTGCAGATTTGCATGATGTTATAAAGAGGTTATTTGTCCTGAGAGTTTATTTCAGATGGGAGCATTGGTATTTTGTATAAAATTGGTAAAATCTGCCATCTCCCCTTGCCCATGGATATATCTGTAATGTAAAAGAAATGTTGCTACTGAGACAGAAGAAAAACGGCATTAAAGGTGTCAGTATAATTTCAGAATGATCACATGTATCCAACTTCTTTAATTTGTGAATTTATGATCTTCAAAGGCTGCTTTAGCATCCAGCAGCAATCCTGAGCTGTCTCAACATTGCTTTGATTGCCCCCCAGCAAAACATTTCTGATTTTTTAGAGTCATTATTTAAACTTGAGTGGAGACACTGGGAAGCCATTCAATGAAGGGATACATTTTGTTGGAAAATGCTTCTAAAACCAGAATGACCAATTAATTCTTTTGCTGGTTAAAGGAAAGGTTTAAGTGGAGTTGCTGTCATCACATGGGGCTGAGCACAAGAGGTGGCATCTGGGGACAGGCAGGTCACACTTAAACATCTAAATAAAAACAAACTGTGGGGGTTGGACACAGCTTGAGCTACCAGATCTTGCCTTCAATTTTCTTGTGTTGATGCTCCCAGAAGAGAGGATGAGCCAGGCTGGAAAATAAAATTCCTTTTTCCCTGCCTTGCCGTGTCCTGCCACAGCATTTCCTGCCGAGGAGCAGCAGCTCAGGAGACATTTCACGTTTTACAGGGGATTTAAGATCAGAGGTTTGATTGTTTTCAAAGAACTCCAAGCCTGCATTGAGCTGCACTGTAAAGGTTAGAGCTGACTTTGTGATCCTCTGCAATTCCAGCAGAACCATTGATTTTGGGGACAATCCCCCCCCTGCTGCACAAGGTGAGGATCTATCCCCACATCCTTTACCCACTTTGCAGGGAACTTTGTACCTTACAAAGGTTAATTGTGCAGGAAAACTTTTTAGCCACCTGTGGTAAGGACAAAAGAAAGAAGTTACTTTCTGAGAATAACAGATTAATTTTATTATCAGTGATTTCTTTATGAATGAGAGGATTGTTACCTTTTTATCTGGTTTATTCATATTTTATCCATATTTTTTTGGTGAAACTAAGGGGAAAACCCCTCCCTCTTTTCCTTTCTTTCACTCCTCAGTGATGTAAATGCTGTTGATAGAGGCAGGTGTAGAAATCTGCTCTGTCTTTGCATCCTCTGTGCTGTGAAGAATTTGGGCTGCACAAGCCAAAAAACTGCAGAGCCCAGAAAAATCCTGTTCAAAAGAACTCAGTGGCAAAAGTATTTTTCAAAAGGAACCGAGGTAGCTTTGAAATTTTCACAAGCTCTTTTGTCTCTACATAAAAAGGAAAAACCAACTTTGAAACATAGAGAAGGAAAATACATCCCCTTTTTTTAACCAGGCTTTATGTGTGGTTTATGTTACATCATTTTCTAGCAGTGTCTGAACTTTTTATCAGTGGTAATTCAATCACTTTGGCCTTTTTATGGCTGAGCAAATGCTGTAACCTACTGAGAAAATGGGGCCAGGGTTTGGGAAATGATTCTCAGGTGCCAACACATCCAGTCCTGGTTCCATTCAGTTTGTTGAATCAATCTTTTTTCTGAGACAGGACGTTTTTTAAATCCAAAGGATGGTTCTGGAGTAAATGGAATTCTGCTGTATTTTCCCCTTCTATGTTATATCTAAATTCCATTCCTAGAAAGAGGAATACAGTGGAAGAGTTTGAAATGCCTGAAGAATTTCCCAATCAGCTGCCAACTCTTTGTTTAAGCCCCAGAGGAACACATCTGCACACAGAGGACTTTTACAAACAGGTTTTAGAACAGAGAAATAAATGCAAGGAGCTCTATGTCATAATCACACCGAGGAGCTGAGCCATTCAAATGAAATGTGGGCTGAAGAAAACAGAGAAATGTTCTCCTCTTTATGTTCTCCTCCTTTTATAGGGAGTTCTGAGTTGGGAACGTCTCTTACCAAAATTTAATAAACTTGCTTCCCCCCCCAGACTTCAGAATTTCCATCTTTAATGTCACGGGATCAAACATTATGGATTTATTCTGCTGATAAAATCCAGATCACATTAATCTCACCTGGTTTAATGATTTCACCAGAGGCTCATCCCAGTGTTCAAGCTCAGTGAAATGTCCAGGAAGATTTTGGAAACTTTAGCACCGGGGTGTGGAAGAAAAGGTCCAGGTTTCCCATAAAAAGTGATTTTCTTTGTGCCTAAAACCCAACTGCACCTTCACCCTCAATCACTGCTTCATGATACGAGGTGGTGGCCAGTTAATTTTATTTGTTTATTAAAGATTTCTACAAATTGTAATTCTGTTGATCTTGTGAGACCCTCAGGACTGGCCAAGAAGTGTCACCAATCCCTCCAGAGCTGGGGAAGAGGGACATTTTCATCCTTTCCC